TTTTTTGTTGCTACTCCTCAAACAAATTCTTCAGTTTTTCTTTTTATGATTATATTTCAGACATTTCATTCAAATGATACATTGATAAGGCTTTAATTCATTACATTTTGACAAAATGTAATTTTTGCACATGTTTAAGTCTAAACCCTGTATCTGCCCATTTCTCTACATTCCACTTTTGGACTTAATCCTCGTTTTGATGTGATGGGTCACATATGTCAACTTAATCTTTTATATTATAAATCTATCACTAAATTCTGTCTTGAGAGCTCTAAAATACTAGAAGCCACTAAACTACATTAAGTTCAAGTAGTACACCTGTGTTGTAAAACTGACACCCATCGAAACAAGAATGTGATATACAATATGAGAACAAATTTTACAATAATTTAAAGGGTGTAAACAGCAAAATTTATCAGTAATAATGGACTAAAGTTTATATGATAAATCTACAAATCACATCCTTTTTGTACTAATCATTATCTTTGTAAAACCTCAGAAGAACTCTAATCCTTGTAAAATATCAGTAATACAGAAAAAAATAAAACTATAATAAAAGACTTTTCACTAATCACTGAAAATAATGTGTTTTGCTGCTCTGGGAAGTAAAGCTATAATATCTGTGCCCTAAAGGGTTAATGTTCAGGGGAGGGTGGGGCTGGTTCTGTGAGTGGAGATGACCCATGCAGCTTGTTGCTGCTAGGACAGAGAGGAGACAGAGGAGCTGTGTTGTTTTGTGAGTCCAGCAAGTTGAAGATGCCCCGTCCTGTTGTTTATCGAACATATTGTTGAACTCTAAAGAGTTTTTAGATGACTATGACTGCTTTTTTGCACGGTGAAAGTCATTACGATAGCTTTTTAGCTTTATTAATTTAGCACATGCTCTGCGCATCAGTGTCCTCTCTGAGTAAACAAACGAAGCTTAACCAGGCGGGGAGGCATGTAAAACCTGACTAATTACCCTGGTGAATATCTTTGACGGTATATCACACATGATAACATATGGCCCACCCCTAATGTGTATTAAAAAAGACATTTAAAAATATAACATTTATCAATAAAGAATCATAACAGCATAATGTTATGATAAATATTTACCAGTCACAAAGCACAAATCTTTTCAACGTCACCATGCGAGAGGATCCAACTCTGTAGTGAGCCAAAGGATATGGGTCTGCAAGTTCGTTTATCTCAACCACTGCCAGTTCTGACGTTGGATGCAACTCAAAAGCTCGATAGTGCTCTTTGTACCATGAGTCCATTTTTTTAACAATAAGATTCAGATTATTTTTGATAATGCATTTCTGAATCACTTCTGAAAATGTTGAAAGGCCTCCATATGATCCATGCACAACTATCATGCTTTTTGGTATTTGATACCATTTAAAGACACACACTGAGCCAGACTTACATCAGAGATGTCAGTGTATTTTTTGGAAAGTGCGCTCACCACAAACTCGCTCAAGACATAAACGGGTACCTTTGAGACGTGTGACACCTCCAAGCGAGAAGTTTCATTTTCAGGACAAAGCATGTTATGGGCAACGATTAACTGATGCTTTGTGGCAAGAGAAACACATACATTTTTGAAATTATTTAAATGCCTGACCACCTGTTTAAAAAAACTGTGTTTGGCCTCGAATCGCAAAGTCCACAACGACACAAGAGGACCAAAGCACTTAATCATAACTTTTGGCCTGGAGAAAGTTCTTGGTAGCATTTTCGATGCTCTGAGATTTTGGTTTCAAGATATGCAATTGATTCTGAAGAATGAATGAGTGCTATTACTATTTCTGCAATGTCTTTTAAATCTAATATCAATTGCCAGACTGGTTCATTGTTGGGAACAAGATTTCCCACAATTTGTGGGAGTAACCGAAGTAGACACCAATTTTCATGGGCATTGCCTCCCACTGTATGTTTTTCTATCAAAGTTTTGGGTAATAATTGTGGACATTTTGTTTTGTCCACACCTTTTGTATGGAAATGACTGAATGAGTTTATTTAGATTATCAAAGGTGAAAACCTCTTTAGACAAAAGTACCTCAATACACCTAGCCAGTTCTACTGGTACAATACCCTCAAATAAATCGTGGACAATATCAGGAGGAAACCCAGTCAGTGCATCAAAATGTGCWAGGCTATCAGTTAGAATGCAGGATGTTTTCATACCGAAGCAGCTTACCCCTGTTTCTTGTGCCTGTCTGATGTGAAGCTGWTAAACTTCCTTAGATCTGTACTCAAATGCTCCTGTCTTCACCTCTTTGTCCTGGATGTCAGTCAGCTGTGCTGTACAAAAGCGACAAAAATATTTTCCTGAAAAACTTTCTACAAATCCAGCCAACCCATGAGCCCCAAGATTATCTGCTACTACACACTGTACAGTGCCTTTGAGTAGTGTTCCAAAGTGTGAAATGAACAACCCCTGTTGCTCTAATATTATAATATCGTGTAGTAAAGGCTCAAATATTTTCTTGTAGCCAAATGTCTTCACATCATTACTTTTACACAGTATTGCCAGGTGTATTGAAGACAACGCTGAGCTTCTGCCTGATGGCAAGTTACCCAAAATCCAGTAAACTGCACAAAATTTGTGTTTTTTACGTGATGTGCCTAAAGGATTGCAAACCTCAAAGTCGTCAATGTATAAACACAAGGAAATCCGGAAATCACCACTTGAAATAAATTAATTGCCTTTACAGAACTCTTCGTATTACGGAGCCTGTCCAGTGACATGGAATAAATTTTTTTTTTCATGTGGCCACTAGATAACACGTACCCACGCGATGACTAATGCTTGGGCACAAGATAATTAATGTGTGCGCACGTGATAATTAAAGCATGGCCACGAAATAATTAACATGTCCCCACATCATAACGCATAGCCAYGCTGCATTCATTTCGAGACTGTCGATTGATAACATGGACAAGTTTGAATTAATTTCATTTTATTTCAGTCTAGGCATGAGTTACAATGACATACTTCAGTCACTTGCGGTGAAGCACGGGGTTATTCTTAGCAAGAGACACTTAATTCGGTTGCTCAAAATGCGTGGGCAGATTTCATTATTCAACAGCTGGAATGACCTGGGAGGCTACACGGCTACAGATGGATGTACAACAAGTGCTTAAAGAATGGCATTCATG